AACATTATTTTAATTTTTAATCAATCAAAAAATTATTTAATAAATAAAAATAATGCATATCAAATATCTATAGCACATTTATGAAAACTTTATACATTTTTTCAAAGTTCTCAACAAAAAAATACGTTTTAAATGTAAATCATCCTTTAAATTTTAACATAAAATAATTTTAAAAGAATTAAAAAAAAAAAAAGATAATATTGCGCGCCTCATCTAGGCGTCCATTAGCGGTCACGATTGCTGTTGACCTCTAAATAAGACGCCAAATCACTTGGCTTGGTGTTTTAACGGAGCATCGTGCCAAGATTGCATTGTCTAAGTGCCTTTTTTATAACATTGGTGTTGACCGCTAAATAAAACGTCAATCCACTTAGCTTGGTGTTTTCACCGTGCATCGTACCTAGATTGCGTGGTCTAAGTGCATTTTTTATAACACTGGATTTCGGATGTCCAGATAGTGGCATTTTTGGTATATTGGAAAGCTTTAAAGGCACAACTAATGATGTGGGGGCAGCTCTCGGCTTTTAAAAGCGTACGTGTGGCTTACATCAGCGTGTGGATCCCGTCTTAGGCTTAGTCATGAAGGAACAAAACTGTTTGAAAATGCTATTCATCTCCAGTGGGGATGCATTCCGATTCTATGTGGATGTAAATGATTGGTTAAATGATATGTGAAATTAATTTCACCTATCATTTAATGTCACATTAACGCCACATAAATTGGGGATGCATCCCCACTGAGGATGAATAGCATTTCTCAAACTGTTTAGGATCTTGTGGACAACTGTAGCGTAGAGAGCCATATGGTTAGTCGGCTTCCGCCAGCGGCGCAGTGAGGCTAGGAGTTGTCTTGGCTTTACAGCTTTCAGTCGGTTTCATAACTAGGGTGTGTTTATGTTGTTATGATTAATGTTTCAAAAGTCGACTCGAAAAGGGAAATGGTCGAGAGTCCAAAAATTGAACCGAAGTGAATCAGGATGTGATTTTTCTAAAAAATAAAAAAAAATACTTTTATATAGGTGAATCGGTAAACAGGGAACGAGTTATGAATTTTCCAAAAATCGACTGGTTTAACGGATTTTGGGGCGGGTTTTTTATTTGGAAAAATTCATAAATAAGGTGTTTAGTTTACACCAATTCAAAAATCATGTTTATAATTTGAAAATTCAAAAATCAGATTTTTTTTTTTAAATTCTAATATAATATAATAAACTCACCCCACATAAACCACCCCT